CAACGCTAAAGACAGAAGCTTTTTCCCTCCTGACATTTCTTGAGCCGACCCGTGTGATTAAGATAAAGCCCTTCTGTGCTCACACACTCCTTCAAAATTAAAATTGCTCGTGTAAATGCCACTCAGTGTAAAAAAGGCAGGAAGAAAAGAAGGAGGAAATGATCTGGAGATACAAGAAGAAGGACTATTTTTGTCCTCAGTGTGTGTTCACTGACCAGTGCTGAGGGGTATTCATTGACCACTTAACGGGGGTGTTTTCAATTTCAGACTTCAGTCAAAAGGAGCTGTGAGCTATTAGAATATGGTGACCTCGGGGTTAATGAAGCCTCTTTATTACCGCCGAGTTCAAACAAAACCACACAGCCACAGCAGCTCAAAACTTTACATTTTGCAGCTCAACTGACCGAATGGTTGATAAAAAAAATGTAAAAAGTCCTTGGGTACATTGTGATGTGGTGAGCGTAATCTCCTATAAAAAGAGGAACACTTGACAAAAGGCTGAAGAAGACAAAGGGATGGCTTTGGAGCAGAGTGAAGGCCGGAGAGATTCCAGCTGTGGTCGGGAGCCCTAAACACAAATTTTAATGATATAGTGGTTGAAACGCTCCTTTTACATTTATTTCACAGGTCCCTTCAGATAAATCTTCAATTCCAATGAAGCGTCCATTGCTTTTTCATATTTATTCCTGGAGCCCGCACACATTTGGTGTTTACGTCTCGTTGTGCGTTCAGTCTTCTCCGTGTGAATTCAGGCCGCATGATAGCCCCCCTGGTGAATGTCCCCCCCCCCCCCTCCTCTGAAAGCAAGCCGCTGACTGGAGGAGGCGCATTCTGCTCTTGGGTCACTTCCAAGCTGTACAGATTGTAATTGATGAGTCTGAGCAAGTGTTCCATGCAGATCCGTCTTTGTCATGCTCAATAAATTACATTTATTCCATGCAAATTGTCTACGGGAGGATTGATTTGATTAATGGCTCGATGGCACATTATATCCCCGTTTTCCACGTCTTCCCCGCCGCTCATTGTTTGCCGTCGGAGGCAGGCCTCCTCCTGACCCCTGCTGGCCGGGCCCTCACTGTGCAGCCGTCAGCACCACGGACAGCGGCCCACTTTCTGACCGCTCCTCCGGGCTCTGAGGAGGTATTTGCAGGACGTAAAGTTTCTCAAAAACAGAATTTAGCCTTCCTCTCACGTATAAAGCTCTCAATAACCAAAGCCAACCCAAGCGTCAAATCCCCTGTGACCCTCTGGTTGTGTATTTCCGAACGGATAGATGAATGAAATCGGTTAAAAATGGGCCGGCTACTTTAAATGGATGTTTAAAATGCTGGGTGGATCCAGGTAATTCAGAACCACCCCTTTCATTTATGTTTCCACTGGCTCAGATTGCCGTGGGGCCTCCTGTGATGTTTGTTTTTTCCCTTCCATTATCTCCATGACATTTTTTTGTCCTGAGCTTGGGTTCCGCCTCTTTCTTCCTTCACCTCGTAGCATCTGCCCCTGCCCTCCCGATTTTGTGTCAGCGCCTCTTTCCTATCCTCTTAACCCCCAACCGGTGGAGGCAGATGGCCTCCCTCCCTGAGTCTGGTTCTGCTGGAGCTTTCATCCTGTAAAAACGTTGGTTTGGGCTTGTCTTTTTTAATCATCTACTGGCATCTTATGAATGAAACTAGAATGAATTTGGATGAATAGAATTGAACTGGGTAATAATTAACTGGACTGTAACTGTATTATTTTGCTTATAAACCTTTGGGACGACACATGCCATAAGCCTGCTCTGTATAAATGAATTATCATCATTTGATTTTGAAAGTTATGCTAGTAATGAAAAATGTCACACAATTTTCTTTTTTTAAATGCTACAATATGTCATTGTTGTGTCGAGAGTGACACATTTTCACACAAAAGGAAACAATATCGTCCGCACATCACTTTTCAAATAACTATTATTACCACGGCCCGGCGAGTAATCTGAATTCCATTTACACGTGCCATTAAAATGTGCTGAGGACGGCGTTAAAAATCGATTGGGTGAACGGTATCTGATTTGGTTTGTTTGCATGAAAGTGTTTTTTCTTTTTCTTTTTTTTAAACTCCCCCTGCAAAGGCAAATCCTTGCCCTTCGGAGCGTCCAGCTGTTTGAAGGAGCCGTGGTGTCGATGGCGGCGGCGTTGGCTGCGGCACATGCTCTGTGGAGGAGGTGAAGCAGAGAGTTTGATTAGCCCCGAGACTCGGCGGGGGGATTCATCTGCAGCCAGCGATCGATGAGCGGCCTGCAAAGCATGCCAATCACTTTTATTGGTTTCCCCCTTCTGTGTTGCCATGTGGATCGCTGGCACTGATATCGTTTTCCTTTTCGGAGCCTCATAGTGAGACAGCTCTGCCTTAAAAATCCTCCAAACTGTTCAGTCTGGATAACCACAGAGGATTTTCCCTTAAGGTTCAGGCCTCTTACAGAAAGGTCACTGTAACTGTATAATAGATTCTCATGAATATTTTGATTCCGACGGTGTCTTGTCTACAGAATAAACCATAGCTACCTTAATTGATCATCTGATTAAGCTTGAGTTTAGCTCTGAGTTTCATTTATAGAGCCGCAGAGTAATTATCAGCTAAACCTTCAAACTGCGAGATAGCAATGATGTCTTTTATCTATTACCACTGAGATGTGCTCTGACTGATAATCTGAACTAAAATCTGCCTTGAAATTCACAGATACTCATAGACTTTGTCGTGTTTTCATTCACCCCCTGAATTTTCCTCTTTTGACACTATTTCGTTTCTTTTTGGATGCTTTGTTTTATAACCAAAGTCACACAAAATCCAGATGCATTTCGGGATTTAACCAGATGGATTATTAGTGTGTAAGAGCATGCCAGTGCAGGATGTGCATGATATACATGGTTTCCTCCCTCGGATTGTTGCTAAAACCTGAAACATCCAGTTCTTCAAAGCTGTTAGAGTGGTAAAAAAAGCCTTTGTCAATATATAAAAATGACCACGCAGGTAATTGTGAAAATTCAATGAAGGAATAGTTCCCAGCAGTGATGGATGAAGGTGGAGCTGTTTTGAACCAGATGCCGGGCTATCACACACTGTGTGGGGGATAATTTTGGGTTTATTTTCTCAGTTGAATTATTCAGGATATCAGAATAAAGTCTGGGCCCAGAAAAATCATAACCCTAAATTGAAAAACATAAAACAGTGATGGAAGAAATAGAAAATTCACACATTTTCAGAAAGATTCTTTTGATAATCTGAGATCAGAAATCTGTTCCTTTGCTTTCCTAACTTTAGATTTATCTGGCCCACATTCTTCATGTTAAAGTCTTGTTTCATTTATCAAAGCCGTCAGATAACTGAAGCCACATTAGATTTATTTTAAACAAAAGAGCAAGGACTTATTCTCTCTCTTTTACATCTCCGTGCTGTCTTTTAAAGTAAGAAGTTATTCTGCGTTACCACAACCTCTAAACTGGTTTCTCTAAAGACTTTTCTTTGACCTGTGAGGCCAAACATTACGCACAGAGGTACAAAACTAAAGTCCAATCTTGCTCAGTGAGTTTTTGATCAATTTATGTTGTGAAAGGGACAAAGACCCCCTGTGTGCTCTGAACAGCACACAGCACCACCTACTGGCACGATGACGCCATTACACAGAGATGGATAATGCAGCAGTGCTAGGGAAAGAAAGAAAAAGAAAATGGAATTGAAGGTTTCATAAAAGCCGGGTCAGTGCGTCTGTTTAGGAACCAAGCAGTACAAAAAGAGACCGAGTCAGAGTTTGTTACGCATTGACTGGCACAGAATCCTCTTTGCTCTTTAGCCGTGTGCAAAAAAGATGGGACTAAAAATAATAGTAATATCATCTGCGGCACAGAATAAGACAGTTGGAAGAACTATTAATGGCAGGATGATCGCCGTTAAGCCTCTCAGCTGCAGCGCAGGCTCAGCAGGAGCAGGGATCCAGCCTTTGAGGGATACTTTGATTGAAAGGAAACAGCTGGGATTTAATGAGGCCGTATCACACCACTGACTTCTTCTTCCCATCAACCTTCGAAAGGCTTAGAGAGCTGAGGAGCAGAAATGGAAAAAGAAAAACCAAAGAGTATGTCTTCGTCCGTAATTAGGAGTGCGGCTAAATTCAAATAACTCATTTTATGTGAAAGTTTTTCCTTCTGAATTTGAAATCTGCTGCACGTGTTCTCATTTAATTTTCTCTGCGAGCTCTTTTACCCACAGCCAATTTACATGATATTCTATTGTACCCTGTATGATGTCTGATATTTTTTTAATCAGCTAATGGCATGTGTGATGGCTTTGGACAATGGCCACGTTGTTGAACAAGCAGTGAACACAGTTAACAGGAGAGCACCTGATTCAGGAGGCTCCACACGGCCTCAGAAAGACGACAATCTTCATTTTTTATTGATCTTCAACCCTGTTTGACGGTGACACAGTTTTTTTTATTTCAAACAGTTGTTTTACAGAACATATTTCCCACTGCTTCACCTTTTTAACACAGACGCTGTCAAACACATCCACACTTTTCCCCTCCAGACAGACTTAAATAAAAGAACATTTTCTATCAGAAATGTCATTTTGAGTGAAGGAGGTTTCTGACTCCTGTTTTTATTCCATTAAGATGCATTCATTTCTTTACAAAAACAACTGTTTCATGTAACATATTCATGTGTAAAATATATATTTTTAAAACACAAAAGAAATGTAATGTGGGTTTTTTTTTTGCATTCGTCATGAGAAAATGACTTTAGAGCAACCTTATCATTTGCATTTCTAAAACAAAAACCAGCACAAGTCTTTGTATGTAAATTAGTCAATTAAAAGAGCTCAAGGAGCTCCAGGACTCAACAGTTCACCTCCATCTTAAGAAGAAAAGAGACACTTTTGAGGACAGGAATGTTCACATTCTTGAAAGAGCAAACAGATGGTTCGAGAGAGGAGGAACCCATCTGTCAAAATGGAAAAAAAAAACAGAGGAGGAGGTCACAGGTATCACCTTCTCTGCACGTATACTTTAACACTGTCCCTCCTCACAAGGTAGTTTCACAACACAATTACCTCCATCCGTCCACCTCTACAGTAAATGCCCAGCGTTCAGCCTTCTGAACCCTCCGACCACAGACGATTTCAGCTAAATCACATCCCAATATGACCGATTGACCAAATAAACAACTACCCGTCTATTTAAAAGTAAAGTTTATTTTGCACCAAACAAAAAAATCATGGCACAAAACCTAAATTCCCAGTTACGACATCAGAGACAGTGCATATCAGTAAAGTTGTAATGCTAAAAAAAAGAAAAAGAAGAGAGAAAATGTCACATACCACAACAAAGGAAATTCAACACCAATAAAAGTTCTTTTTTGAAAAAGTAAAAACATCAAAGCTGAAACGCAAACGACAACACGAAACAACCACCTTAAAATGACATTGTTGGCACACAAAGAAAACGCTACAGAAACTTGCAATAATGCTTCATCTGGTACAGAGATATGGGCACAACAGATGTCCAGGCACCGCTCTCACACACGCGTACACATGCACACCCGGGGGGGCAGATCCACGAGAGCCAAACGACGCTAATCCCATAACCGCAGCATTAAAATCAACCACGTAATAAATATCAGTGAAAGCACCTTTAAAGCTGTGTATAACTGATCAATCGACGGCAACAACAACAAAAAAAAGTCAAATTAAAATCAGCATTACATTAATAGATTGAAATACCATTAAAACAGCTGTCATTCATAAATCTTTACATCGGTTATTTTTTTGCTCAAAATCATGATGTATAGGTAGGTCTCCCTAAAAGTTACGAGGCGGTGTCTAAATCTGTGGCATGATTTGGACTTCAAAGCCGAGGAGGCTTTAAAAAACACCAGAAGAAATAGACCAAAGCAGCCCCGGTGACACAAGACGACAGGATGTCCACAGTTAGGGATCAGCTTCCACTGGATCAGACCGTGTCTGTGTTAGCCCCTTGAAACGCTGGCCAGAGGCCAACAGAAAACTGCTTCTTCTTTGAAAAATATACAAAGTGGAGGCAACGCGCGCCTCGCATTACCAAACCGTTTGGCTCCGAACCGTGTGCAAAACACTCCCGCCGGACTTCCCAGCATTAAAAACACCCTAAGTGATCGCTCGTTTCATCTTTCAGAAATACCAAAATATAGAAAAAATCTTCTTAAAACAGATTTGCATGCTGGAATATTTCAGACCGGCACAACGTTAAGAGCTATTTACAGCAAGTGTGATGAGCACGTGCGTCCCAGCTGTGTCTCCGTGGCACTAGTAGGAGCGCCAACCGTGAAAATTCAATCATTACAAATGTTTCGCGTAACACTGCGACAGAGTTGTGAATCTGAGACCAGAACTCTGGAAAAAGTCCAAATGGATCCAGAGTTTGTAGTGAAGTGCAGAATCTCCTTTGGACTGATGATCAGCACTCTGATATCCCAAATACAGGATTATTTTTATTCTATGCAATCTTTAAAGTTCTACGTACGTATCACAAAATAATTTCCCGCTGTGCTCAGTCTGAGCGACACATTAGCTGTTTTGTTTCTTTCATTTGATCATTTACTTTCATGAGTGCAAACTGTTGATTTGTACTAAATTTAATCTGAGACAATCTTCTTTCTGCTCAGGAGTGCCAACGTGTTGCACAGTGTGTGGGTTTGACTTCTGCTCATTTTTCCTAATTTTCTGGATCTGTGACTGAGTAACAATGTTATTACCTGGAACAATCAAAGCGCTAAGCCCACAAATAACTGGCAGGACTGTTCATGTTCTACGTGCAAATGTGTGTGCCTTAAAAACGGCTAGTCGCCGATTTTGTCGCATTGATGGCTTCTGCTCGTGATTGGCTCCTTTTTCCCTTTTCGCCCCAAATAGCCAGTAGCCACGTTGATAAAAAAAAAAAAACGACAATGAGCAGATACTGAAGAGGAACTAAAATCTTAAAGGCCACATCTTCTCCACCGAAGGAAAGTCCATGTTTGGTTTGGGGAGAATATGGCAGGAGGAATGCAGAGATTCTACTGCGAAGCGAGAGAAAATGAGCTTTGCATTGAAAGCTTGAGATTCCTCTGAACCAGTGCTGTGATTCATCAGTGTTCTGACCACTGGAGGACATCGTTTTGCAACAATGTGGCACATACCATTTCATTTTTCCGTGCTGCTCTCATTTGGGCTTGCTCTGCTTTGGGGTCACAGTTTGCTTTGGCTGTTCTTTGGAGGCTGTTGCAGAGGCTGAGGAGGAGGTGGAAGAGGAGGAGGAGGACGAGGAGGAGCTCCAGCGGGTCTCCACACCTGTGCTCGTCATCTTGAGCTTGCGGCGCTTTGCCAGGGGAGCGTTGTCGACGCTTTTCAGGAAAAAACCCTCTCTTTTGCCACGGTTAAAAGCCTGGTTTGAAAGGACGACAACAAAAAGGAAATGTGTTGTTCTGATTTAACACCTATTGGCTGATCATTTCTTTGAGATATGCAGCCCTCTGAGCCATTACATTGTACGTAGCATTAACATAGGTGCGGACAGTTGGTCCACTGGACTCTAACACATCTGGAGTGCACAAAGGAGTGGTGGACATGGATGCTCCGCCCTGCAACCAGCTGTTCTCCTTCAGATCGGAGAGTTTGAGACGTCTCTCTGGATCCACCGTCAGCAGGCCTTCAATCATAGAGTGACGTGTCAAACCAGGCAGATACAAACAAGTGAAACACAAAGAGACATGGCAGCCACACTGAAACAGCAAAAACAATCAGGTAGGTCTGAACCAAGAGGAGCTACAAGTGTGGGGAACTTTACCTTTGACCAGCTCTTTTGCGTCCTCCGATACGCCTTTCCAGGCTTCCCCTTCCAAGGAGAAATCCCCCTCTTTTATCTTGTGCATGATATCTGCTGCAAAAGAAGAGGTCATTCCTCGCTGCTCGCTCTGAAATGGCACCTGGCCTGACAGCATGGTGTACTGCTCAAGACATAAACAGCCATTAGCATCTCAGTTAGCCCCGGCAGGCGGGACAGGACGGACTTCCGCCGGTTAAATTACCAAGATCACCCCGAGACTCCAGAGGTCGCAGGATTTGTCATAGCCCGCGCTGTCGAAGAGCTCCGGCGCGGCGTACTGCAGCGTGAAGCACGGGGTCTGCAGGGGGGCGCTGCCTGCAGGGCACAGGCGCGCAAACCCAAAGTCTATGACTTTCAGCACAGGGTCGTCCCCCTCGTCTGTAAACAGCACATTCTGTGGGGAAAGCAAACAGAGCAGAAGCCACCCCGATTTTTCTTTAGTGCATGTCTCTATTTTGCCACAGCAGGGCAAAGTTGTCTTATCATAAGTGAATATAAAGTGTAATAATTAAGATTTAAGTGGTCGAAGCTATGCCTGACACGATAGTGGAGCAAAGTCAGAGCAGATGGTTAACAGATGGCGGTATTATTAAAATTAGACTCTAAACATGAGTTCAGGAAAATTAGATCATATGCTGAGGTCAAGAGATATTTCCAGGACACTTATCTGACAATTATTAAATTTCGGCTGATCCTGTATACAATTGCGAACTTTAATTGTGCAAAAATGCTGAAAAAAGCCCAGAATAGAAAAACAAACATATGTTTGGATCGGCGTATCAGAAAATAGCTAAAGTTGTTAGTAAAGGCATCTAAATGTTTGTGACTCAATCCGACCATCTGTCGTTTCAAGCTGCTCCATCTTAAGTGAAAGCCCTAAGTTAACTGAATCCTGCATCTGAAGATTCCGGATGTAAAAGAGCTGCAGCCTTTGTTGTGTAAAACGATGGCGATTAGAAATTTAATTCATTTTGACTGTTATTACCTTGGTTCTGTGGCATTGTGCAAAAAAAAAATGCAGCTGAGTCTCGATCAAAAACAGTTACAATGATAGAATCTCAGTTAGCAAAAACAAAGCAAAAACATGACACAAAACTATATGATTTAATAGCTGAAGCTTCTGGCTTTTTTGGCAGAATGAGCAGCGCCCTTCTAATTTGCAGACTCATTTGCATCTCATTGGTAAAAAAAGTGGTTCTGCAGTGTAAAATCTAAATAAATTAGAATTTCATTACTTCTTTATATATATTTCACAAAGCCAGAATGTTCAGCTGTTAAATAATTTTTTTTTTCTTCGATCACCTGTCTGCTGTTTTTTTCCAGGGGTGGTAAATGAGGAAATCCCTATCTACCTCAGGCTTGAGATCTCTGTGCACGACGCCGGCCTCGTGCATGTAGCTGACAGCTGACACCAGGCTCTGCAGCAGCTGGCTGGCCTCGGCCTCACCGAAGAGTTTCTTCTTCTTGATCCTCTCCAGCAGCTCCCCGCCTTGCAGGAGCTCCATCACTAAATATGTGTGGTACTGAAAGAGAGACACGGCCTCATGCACTCATTCTGATAAATGGACTTGTATTTGTACACTGGTAGCTAAGAGTTCAGTGCCTTTCATTAGGATGAAACATTGTACCTTCAAAAGCAAAAAGTGCCTTTTGACTGGGCTTCATACCTGATCGGTGTAAACGTCAAACAGCCTGACAATGTTGGGGTGGGCCTCGCACTGCCTCAAGGCAGCAATTTCCCTCTGAGTGTTTACCTCCATTCTAATAAAACAAAACCAAAAAGGTTTAATGATGACAATGAAGCAGAGTGAATCGCGCGGTCATTAGAGAGGAGGGCGACGGAACCATTAAGCAGCCCCACATCTTCCCTCACCTGCGGCTGACAATCTTGACGGCGTACTCGTGACCACTTTGCTTGTGTCGGCATTTCCTGCACACTGAGAAACTACCCTCACCCAGCGGCGGCCCGTGGAGGTTCAGCTCGTAGTGCTGGAAAAACTGTGATTCCTAAACAGATGACAAGCAGGATGGCCTGTGAGCTTTGTTCAAGTCTTAACATATCAAAGCCAACAAACGGAAAGGAGGCATCCCGACCCCACACTCATACCTCCAGCATCGCACTGCGCTGAACAGAAGCAGACGCGGGTCGGTCAGCTCCAGTTTGGGATTGGCCTAAGTCCCCCATGACGGCGTTCTTATTGAACAAGATGGAAGGAGCGATAAAGGAGTAACCCTAAAAGAGAGGAGAGGGGCTGGGTGTTAGAGTTCACTGCCTAGACAAGCTGGAGAGAGACTCCAGACATCAAATGTTAAAATCTTAAAGTCAAAAGGCTGCATGATTCTTGGAAAAACCCAACATGGAAACACCTAGGCGAGACGTAAAGGGCTCACCTGGAAAAGGCGGTCTGTGCTTGGGGGTGTGCTTGCCGGAGAGTAAACGGGATCCATCCCAGTGAATTCCTCAGCAAAGTTGCCAACGTCAAGTTCGCTCTTAAGCTCTGGTTTGAACGGGCTTTCTACTTTCTTCTGAGACAGGTCTGCCCAGTTCAGTCCCTGTGAGGAAACAGATGGATGTTCAGATGGAAATTATAGCACGTTTTAAGGGGACTGTAAACATCAGACTGCTTAGGAGTTGAAAACCTTGAAGAAAGGATGAGCTTTGATGTCCTCGGCCCCTCGTGGTCCAGAGCCCAGCCTCTTGTGAGGATCTTTTACCAACAGCTTCTTCAGCAGGTCCTGAGCAATGGAGCCAATCATGGACGGGAATGGTGGGTCGCAGCGCAAAATACGCCTGAGAGACAGGAATATAGAAATGATCTGGCAAAATCTACAAAAAGAACACCCATCCTGTAGAATAGTTCCTACGTAGTTAAACCTAACTACTATGAACTGAGAACATGTTTAATTGAGAAGCTTGCTTTGTGATCTTAATCTGACTTACAGAGAAAGTAAATCGCACTTACTTTGACACCTCGCTCTGGGAGTTCCTCTCCCCCTCCAACGTAAAAGGAGATGCTCCCGTCAGCAGCTCGAACATCAGGATCCCCAGGCTCCACCAATCCACCGACTGGAGAATAATAAAGGTAAAAAACACAGAAGAAAGGTTATAGCACCCACTGGGTCTTTACTGCGGGGGTCTGGCTTGTGTGAGATGATAATGATAGCCTTCTCCAGCAACACTTGTTAAAACCTGTCTAAAAACGTGGGATGGTGGGCAGACCTGGAGGGTTTTCTTAAATATCTTTCCTATATTGTTAATGGGGTTTAGACTTTTTAAAGAACAGAAATCTGAATATCTTACACTTTTATGTTTTTCTTTTCTTTTTAATTTTTCCTTATAATAGCAAAAGGGTGAAAGCCAGAGAGGGAGAACAAATTTGTGGCCAGACTGATGTGGATTTACCTTGCCGTGCCCAGCCTTCCCCCTGATGATTTCCGGAGCCATGTATTCAATAGTGCCACAGAAAGAGTAGGTCCTTTCCTTCTGTAATGACCAGAAAAACGAAACGCATCATTTCAGCGCACCTGCACACACACTTATGTGGCACTGTAGCATTGTTTTAGTTACCTCTTCTTCCAGAAACTCTTTGCTGAGACCAAAATCTGTCAATACCACATGGCCTTCACTGTCTAGAAGAATGTTTTCCAATTTGATGTCTCGATACACAATCCCAAGCTGCACAAAACCACAAAAACGGCCACGTGGATTTATATCAAACGTGCAAATAGAGACGGTGTCACACAGATGCAAAAACAGCCTGATAACTGATCTTTTACTTTTTCCAGTCTCATTCGTGACTGCTAAACATGTCAATTTGTCATCCAAGCATCAACAAAAGCATAGGTGGAGCAAAAGCCTTTAACCCTGCAGTGTACTAAAAACAATATAAAGTGGGCGGATTCAAAAAGTCAGGATTAAATACTCAAAAAGCACAACATGAACCAGTTCTGTCAGTTTTTGCAAAACATGGTGGAGCTTGGTGTAAGGTATAACCAACAAATAGCTTTAGCAACGCAGTATTTAACCTCTGCTGCCGTTTTGCTGTCCAGTTTCTCCTCTGTTTCTCGTGTGCGTTTGTCTCTGTGCTTCACTCAAACAGCGTAAGACTCACAGGTAAAACAAAAGTTAGTGGAGTCAAATGTGGCACAAATATGGGTGGAGCAGAGTGAGAAGAACTCTCCTTAAATAAAGATTCAAGGGTCAAGACTTTTGCGTGTCGTGAACACAATCTTACATTGTATAAACACACAGAGAAATGTATTATGCTCCTGTTCCCCACAGAAACGATAACAGCTCCTGATACCACAAAAGCTCAGGTGTAAATACTTATTTTGTTCTGTTCAACAACTTGCACACAGACTTTGGACTCTATATGTGAATGTAGTACACATTTTAATATCTGAAACCTAGGGTGGGGTTGCACTTGCATGATGAAGGCAGACGTATACCCAGCTTTGGGCTAAATTTACTGCTACAATCAATAGTTGTGTAACATTATTTGGTAACCACTTCCTGAAGCTGGGAAGTATTTGTAACACAATCCAGGGCAAGAAGGTACTTACCAACTAAACCATCTTTGAAAATAAAAAAATGATGGCTTTTTTTTTCTTCTTAGAAACTGACAAAAGTTGTAAAATCATCAAAGCTAAAAAACTGCGAGTGTATCATTTATAAACCAGTTAGTGATTAATATCTGTCAAATCACATCAAATCTTTTACATTTGAAAATGTGAATGCTCACCTTGTGCAGATGCTCCAGAGCGAGGATTATTTCCCCAATGTAAATCCGGACCGCCTCCTCGGAAAAGTGATCCCGCTGGTACAAATGAGTGAACATCTCCCCACCACTAACATAGTCTGGAGTTCCACACACACAAAAAAAGAGAGGGATATTAAATAGATACATTATATAAATTAGACAGATTTTCCATTACTGGTGTTGTTTATAGACTCACCCAGGATGAGATGTAGTTTACTCTGAGTCTGAAAGGCGTAGTGAAGTGTGACCAGGAAAGGAGACTGGCGAATGTGCTCCAGCACCTGCCTCTCAGTGCGAGTGTGCTCTGTTGTCTTGGCTTTCTGAACAATAGCTGCTTTTTTTAAGACCTTGAGTCAGGAAAGAAAATACTGCGTTCAAGTTACAGTAATATAATCACATTTATTGAACTGTGAGAAAGGTAACATTACCTTCATAGCATATAGCTGGCCCGCATCATGGCCGCTGTTCTTCCTGACCAAAAACACCTTTCCATAAGCTAGAAAAAGACAAACAGTCACCAAATTACTGATGTTCCAGATAAAAAAACGGTCTGCAATTAGTGTCTTTTAATATTAGCTATACTCTAACACCATTTAAAGGATGTTTTTCCCTAGATTCTAGCAAAAAAACATTTTTTAAATGCCATTCATTCCTCACAAAACCCACTGGACCCCACAAGTGTAGAGGACTTTATGGTTTTTGACCTTATATATAAACACACGCACAAAAAGAGAAAAACAGCAAAGCTGCCTTGGGATGTAGTTTTCGTGTGTGGATTCTTTGAGGAGAGGGAACAAACCGTCTAACTTTAATGATTAAAAAACTCGTTCTTTCACCTACCACACCTGCAATGAAGACTCACCACTGGATTACACCTTAATTACATATGGGGCAGGTTCAAAACATATACATGGCCCTCCAGCAGGATACAATTAATCAAGTACGATTTTGTTAATGGAAATAGTCTATGAAGATTTAGGATGACATGATACCCAGAGTAGCTTATCTGTCTTCTAAACATTAGGCCCCTCTGTTTGCTGTCTTCATAATGTGCACAGCCTCATTGAGGATATGAACAACTAATATTGCACCCTCAGGGGTACTCTCTCTGACAGTCTGCGAATATGGATTGAACAGTCTTTGCCTTTAAACTGTTTATGGAGGTGAATTCATTGCATTATTTTTGAGAATATCTTCAAAATGTTTACAACTGTCGGCCTTCATGCTGAATGCTTACCTCCAGTGCCCAAAACTTTGAGCAGCTCAAAGTTCTCCATGCCCACCCTCTCAGTGTGACCTGTGAGGTTAGCTTTTGGAGAGAAGAAAAACAACTGTTAGAGTGCTTTTACAAGTTTATTGAAAGGGGAAATTAAAGACATTCCATACGCATTTCACAAGATAATTTTTTCTGACTATTAGAGAGCAACTTTACAAAACAAGTTACAGTGGTTAACTTTCTTATGACTGTTAATAATAACAAAAAGTAATTGTAACCATAAACTTTGATTTCTGGGATATACAATACAGTATTTAGTACATACATAATAGAGTAAAATGTAAAATGCCAAGGAAAGACGAGTGACAAAAAAACAACACAAATTACACTGACAACTCTGGTCAATAAAAACAAGTTGGTATTCAAACCAAAGCACAACAGCCCGGAACAACATCTCTACTTACATGAAGAACATTGATGTTGTGACATTTATGGACTGCACTTGAGGCATAACTATGGTCTGAACTCATTAATTTGATTTCCTTTTGTACCAACAAGACCATTAATCTAAGACAAGCACTCAAGTACACAGAATAAAATAGAAACAGATGTTTGGTGCCCATCAAGGCTAAGTTTTCAAACCAGATGAAATCTTCCTCAATGTCATTTACTTGAACAATTAATTCTTATTAAGCAGTAAATATTTGGATGATAACTTGTCCAATACATACGGAAATTCATTTACACTTATAGGAATTACTTGTTAGGACTAATGTGACACCTTAGTCCAACAGACCTTCAGACCAACAGTGACTAAAATCACAGCTACCTCAAAATATTTAGAGATTTCTACTCACAAATGCCATTTTGGTATGTTTAAAGAAAAACAACACCATGAGATAAACACAACACTGCATCATCAGTAAATAATTAATTATTTTTTAATCATACCACGTTTATTACTTGATAAACAGTTTAAGTTGGACTTACCATTGGTGATGAGGTGCTTGACAGTACAAGCTTTCTCATTTGTTTTCCCATCGGAGTCATCACTGCTATCTGATGTGTCCCCAGACATTACTTACAGAAAAAGAAGACTAAAGCCAGCACAGACTGATTTTGATATATATTCCAATGTGCTGTTTGTTTGTTTGTTTTTGTTTGTTTTTCTGCAATATGTTAAACTAAAGATTGTGCGATAAAATTTTTATCGTAGCTGTATAAAAAAAAGCACGGATTATGGAAAAGACTGGACAGCTGTGCTTTCGAGACAAAGCTGCTGCTCTAACGATAATCCCCGTTCTTTTGACATCCTGCTGTTTACCATTATTTTTGTGTCCTCATGTGATTAGCCGAAATCAATAAAAAAAACACGAACGTGTTGCAATTCAAATTCCTACTGCTTTAACAGCTGTAGTTGTCTCACGATAACAGGAGGAAGATAAATAAATCTCAATAAATGTGTATATGTTTGCTGAATATTAAGTGGCTATTGCTAGCATTAGCTGTTCAAGAGTAGTAATTATTCATTAGATAGTAGACGTTACTTAGTAACGTTAATACTACTTTTAAAGAGACAGCTGACCAAACGGTGATGGTCTGTGTTGTAACACACTCGATACTAAATTAGCATAACAGATACAGCAACAACACATGAAATCCTGGCTGATGGTTTAGTAGTAGTACACTGATACAGAAGTGTTAGCAGCTAGCTAGCGAATAGCTCCTGTTGCCCGTCAAAGTTTGAACGATTAGCTAACCGCTAACGGTTTGTTAGCCATGTTAACTGGCCTCTTCAGATACGAGTAATCACACCATGGTGGAAAAACGACAGTTAGAACAGCCCCTTGCCTTTTTAGTCTCCACTAGCCTCAAACAAGTGATTCGTCCATGGTACAAGTATTTACATGTCACTTTACGCGTATTATCTCCAGCCTGAAAACTGCTAACACCAGGATGCTTTCGACACAACCTGGGCGACGGTCAGTCACGTGAGCAACATCAGTGGGCGGAGCCTCCAGCCTGGTCAACTTACTGGATCTGACCCGGAGAGAAGCAGTAATGATGGCATCGTGGTGAGTTTGATTTGTTTATCCTCCATATGACAAAAAGTAAATCTATGCGTTGCTTATTTTATCTTCCTTTAACAAAACTTTGTATTTCCCCTACATTTGACACTAGTTATGCATCCAATTTTGATCTAACTACACCGCATATACCAATAAAAGTCCAACATTTTTCAATATATCAATCGTTTTAAAGTTAAGTTTCACTACACAAAGTTTGACTAGGGTAACAATTCACACAATTTCTTGCACGGAGAACCTCTTTATTATACTTGATGTGTCTTGTAAGGCATGTTAGACCCAGTTTTGATGAGGTCTCAAACTGGAACGAACATTGTTGGTCTTACAGGACAAAAATAAAAGCCACCTTTGACTTTTGATGTACATTCAAATATTGTATATTTCATTGTTCGACTAAATTCCGTTAATACATGACAACTCCTGTGGGAGGTTCCTTTACATAATGCGAGTTCTACATTGGTTGCATGTGGTTTATGATTACATTAGAGCTAGTGCAGGAAAAGAAATGCCCCTACTCTCCATTTCAGCTTTGCATCACAAACAATGGAGAAATGTGTGTGGCATGCCAAAACAGAGCATGACCATTCCACTCTGAAGATATATGCCTCTCTTTTAACATACAAAACAGAAACACTGACAATTTGCTGATTTTGAGGTATCAAAAAGTGGCGGCAAAATTATCAAAAAATATAAATGTCCCAATTTTTCTCCCTGAAGACCAAAGTTGGGAAAACTGTAATCAGGACTGGTGAATCAGACACATGGAATCAGAAAAGGCTGGCGTCAATAAACCCCAAGAACTGCCCTGCTAGGTGGAAAATATCATTCAACAAGATGTTTACGGTCAGAAAATACTGTCAGACAACCAATACTGGCTCGTTTATGAGGCTAAATCCACCCTTCCACTGTATTTCCCATGATATTGAACTATTCAAGTCTGGCAGTTGGTCAGGCAATTTATTTTGAGGCAGGGAAAGGCTAAGGCCAGTCAGATGGCATCCACTCAGACCACGTTAATACACCTCCTGTCAGGTTAAGACCTTTCTGTCAAGCTGATCTATACCAGATACCCATTGGATCAGATTAATGATATACCTGAGATGCCAAAGGATTTCCCAACCTGAATGATCGCAGCACATGGATAGAAAGAAAGAAAGACAGACAGAAAGAAAGAAAAAAGCACCTCAATCTGATACCTCATGTCGACTTGAGCTCTGAGGAAATGTCTTAAACCTGTCATCTTGAACTTGAGCACAGGATATTCTATTTTTGATGCATTTATTAAAACTCTGAACCAGTACAAATATGAGAACAGCTTCAGGGTGGATTTCTCCTTGAAACACAGAGCACGACAATGCGCTGCATTGTGATGTTTATTTTAAGATGTATAACAGCATCTGTCCAAGTGAATTCAGTTTCTTTCCCCCGATCAAGCTGCCCCAGGTCCTGATGTTTTCCAGTAGACATAGAAGCTGCTCCAACATAAGTCAAATGTTGTGAACCCCATTAAAAAAAAAAGAAACAAATATAACATACACACAAAGTCCCAGAGAGACTGAGGACAATGCAATTCTGAATTTTAAAGGCAAGAAAAGAGAGGATATATTATTTCTGAGGGATCTGCATGTTGTTCCACTCTTGTCTTGGACTTTCCTCACACGCGGGTCTGGTCTCACATCAGCGGATGGCTATCAGTCCCACATCAATGAGCTTCTGAATCTTCTGAGCAATAACTGGGTTCTTTAAGTGGCTGTGGATCAAACAGGACACACTTTAAAATCTGCATTCGCTTTAGGAGACGCTACAGTGAGACGTTTAACTCTTAAATCTGCCAGCTTACTCGCTAAGTGCCTGAGGGTCCTTCTGCATCTGTTCCAGGATCATGCGCATGGCCGGGTCGCTCATGATCTGCTGCACCTCAGGATCGGCCATGGCTCTCTTCTTGACGTCCTCTGGGCTGTCGTTTCTCGTGGCGTGACTGACCATGCAGCGCTGCATGCCTTCTGAGGCCTCCTGCAGGTGGACAGGGTGGAGGACCATCAAAGCTAACCCCTCTCTGATCACAAACAGACCATGCTGATGTGAAATGAGACATTTTCACACATGAAAATGTGAGAATTCTGTCTGGTCTTTGTCCCAATTCACACATGCGACTCGGTGGGGAAAATGTGCTGGGTGCTGTGCACAGATGCCACATTATGCCGTGGAAACACACAATCTCCACAACTGTTCCAGAGCTAATATAGCGGGCATTAATGTCTCTGCTAATGAAGACAAACCTAGAACAGGATAGGTCATGTGGGCGTGTTAACTGTGGTGTGGCACAGAGCCACGAGTCTCGTCAGGTCCCACAGATGGCATGAACTACGTCCAAATATTAGGGCCTAAACGCACTCAAATCTGTCACGATTTCAGAATGCTTAAGGGAATTTTCCAAGTGGGGCTACTAAATCTTTGGACAAAATAACTGAGGGGCATCTTCAAAGTCATATCCAAAGTACAGATTAATCTCAATGTTGGAAATATGTTTGCTTTCCTTGAGTGCATCTGTTAGATGTCACTTCATTTCCAAACTAAACCTGCCCAGATTTCTGAATGTTGGGGTGAACATAATTGAAAAGCGCATTTGGTCAGCACCATGTTTGATTCAGGATTTGTTGTATTAGAGAGTAAATGTGTTTCAGGTTTAACTTTGACTTATGTTAAGAATCACATTTCTCCAAACAACACAACAACCAGACATTTCCTGACTACTCTACGCACTCTGTGGTTTCCCCTCATACCTTTGAAGAAGAATCCAGCTCTAGGGCCTTCTGGTAGACCTCCATAGCTTTGGAATAATCTTTCATGGCCTCCAAAGCAGCTCCTTTACGCGTGTATCCCTTAACTTTGGGCAAATGTTTCACATTAGTAGGACAAACACAACAACAGGGCATGTAAACACATTTAGGAAGAACACAGTAAAATACTCACTGAATGAGGGCTCAAGCTTGATGCACTCTTCACAATCCTGCCAAAATAAATGTAAATATTGTAATATAATTCTAAAATGCACATAAGACACATCAACATACGTCAGAGGTGTGTGTGTGTACCTTCAGGGCGAGCTGAAACTCCAACAGCTTTGTGTAGCAGGCGGCTCTGTTACTGTAGAGTTTGGCATCGGTGGGGTTTCTCTTGATGGCCTCAGAGTAATGTTTCATGGCTACTGGGTAGTCTCCTGCAAGAGGGAGGGCAGGGTCATATTTAACAAAGGTTCTTAAACCAACGAAGTGTCAGGCAGCACACTGACACCTTTCCACAAACCTTTCTGGAAGGCGTCATTTCCCTTGTTCTTCTCTTCTAGCGCCAACTCAGGGTTGATGTAGGCTATCTTTTCCTGTTCCTTCAGAATCTTCTCTGCCTGCACAAACAAAAGCAGTATCCAGATGAGAGGGACCCTGAGGGGCTGGGTTGTTTTGGTGTGTTGTTTCCCTCTTTAGAACTTTTATGTATTTATTAAATACGGGAAGCTTCACCTGTTGACATTTCTTCAGGACATCAGGGGTGCGGTGCTCCGTCAAACTCTTGTTGAAATACTGGACTGCTTCTTTGTATTTTTCTTGCTTAAAGTACGAGTTGCCAATTCGAGCCAGAGCCCTACAAACAGAACGTGAGCAGACAGGGAATGATAAAACGGTTATGTTGGCAGGTATTAATTATGTAGTGCAAAAACACATATGTGTGTGTTTGTGGGGGAAGCACCTGTGCTCTTATGCTGTAAGGTGAACACAACCTACTTATGGTAAGGTGTGTGTATGTGTGTGTGTGTGAGCACAGATGAATTAACCAGATGCAGACACTGAACGTGCAAAAAGACACTTGATTCATCCTTAAAAGCACTGACAGGTTTGAGAGAAACCATTATTTCCCTCACTGAGATTTTAAAAAATGTAGAAACTAAAGAAAAGGGGGAATAAAAATACAAAAACTTTCGATCTGCTAGAAGAGACTAAAACAACTCACTTTGCTATTTGTCTGTAATCTTCTCGGTTCTCTCTGCCAACATCGATGGCTTTCTCGCACAGATCTCTGCATTTGTCAAAGTCTCCCTTCTCAAAAAACACAGCTGAAAATAATAATTTAGAAGATAAACATGGGAAAAGGAGAAATTCAAGTTAGTTAACAGCACTGAACAGCCGGGTGATTAAGAATTTTCAGCATCACATCTTTACCAGTTTTGTAAAGGCAAAAAATGTAATCACAATATTTAAACTCAGAGCATCACAATATATCACAATCATCTGAATATTCTAAAATAAATGTTTACTTTTAATACATGCATTCTGTGAGGCTTTTATATGGGAGAGGGCACAGACCTGCTTGGTTTGATAAATAAGTCATGTTGGTTGGATCGTGCTTCATTGCTGCTTCATAATGTTTCAGCGCTTTCTCAAAGTCCTTATTTTTATAAGCGGTGTTCCCCTCTTCTTTCTCCTTCAGGGCCTGTGCAGGAAAGAAACCGCTGGGTGAGCAAAACACAAAGCATGGAAGGATCAGAGGACATCAAATGTAAAGTTAAACAATTTACCATTCTCTTGTTTTCAGGGAGATCCTCCTCTTTAGGGGGAGGGGGCTGAGTTTCTTTAGGTTTGGGGGGAGGAGGAGTGGGCTCCTCTTCTTCTTCCATCTCAGACAGGTTCAGTCCGAGCAGCACAGAGAGTGTTGTCATCACTCTTGGATCCTGCAGTTTCCTTTGAAACAAAAAGAAAACCAAGGTGGAGATGTTCGTTTATAAAGCACAGCAGCACTTTTGGAGAAAACAAAACACCTCTGACAAACAAGCTTTAGAAACTGCACTTACGTCCCGAGATCGGAGGGCTTGTTCCTCAGCTGCTCCAGCAGCTCTCTGTAGCTGGGGTCTGACAGGAGGTCGCGGGTCCGAGGATCAGTCTCCAGCTTCTGATACAGGTTGGGCATGGCGAATGGGTTCATCATTGATTTTTCTGGAGAAACCAATTCATTTTATTAGACAGACACTAGTATGAATATAATCCATCAGTTTTGTCTAAAAAACAGTATTATTTTCACATTACGTCTCTTTTTCTATATACTGTGAACAAAACACTCCTGTTCATACCTGCAAGTCGGGCCTCGATGTTCTGTAAACCCTCTTTTAGCTGCTGATTGCTCGGTTCTTGGCGGAGTCCCTCCTGGTATGTTGCTTTTGCATCCTCCAATCGGCCAAGAAATTCCATCGCAGCAGCTTTGCGGGAATACCCCTGGTTCATCAAAAATGTTGCCGTTTTAGATAACCACTAGACTATTTTTAGACTGAACTTTCCATTTCAGTTTTGAAAAAATCACAGAGAGTGATTTCAGAGCAACACTTACTTTTCCCCAGTCAGGCTTGATCTTGATGGTCTGACAGGCATCCTGGAGAGCGCTCTCATAATTGCCTTTTTTAGCGTGGGCAGCTGAGCGGTTACTGAACAGAACGTGGTTTGACGGGTCAAGAGTCAAGGCTTCTGTGTAGCAACGCACAGCTTCATCGATATTTCCTGCACTTAGAGCCTTGTTGCCCTGGTCCTTTAATGCTGAAACCTTCAAGGCACACAGACACAACATTTTAAACACAAGACCTAAAGATTAACGTGCACAGAATCCCTGAGACAGATCTGGTTTGGCTGATGAGAGGGCATTTATTCGCAGCTGTTCGTGGTGGAACTGAAAAAAGAAAGTCACAGCTGTTTCGCTGTTCACGTCTACAACTATTACTATTTTTGCTTTGACATGTGCATTCGTCATTTTCCCGATGCAATCTCATCAGATATCCTCTTTTCTCTCAAGCTGCAAGTCCTGAATCCGTTAATGTCAACGTGACTTTTAAAAATCATACTGGTATTTCAAACAATGTGCCCACTCATTACAATTAAACAGCTCTGTCCCCACAATACATCTCCTGAATGTTTGCAACATTTTTAAAAGAGGGTTTATCTGGTCAGGCAAACACCCACTCAACTAGTGGCTGGTGTCAACTTTTTAGTAGGCTTGGAGCCATGCACAAAAACAGAAAAGCAATACTTTAGGGTATTGTGTAATAGCAAGTCTTTCTTTTTTTTTTATATACAAAATGAGGCAATTATACCAACCATAGATAGCTATTTCGATTTACCTTCTGTATTGTTAGTACTCATTTAAAAGGAGATTAATCTGTGAATGGCACTGTTGCAGTCTAAGAAGATTTCTGTGGGCTGTCTGAGTCAGAACCTTGTGTTGCTGTGGAAAATATACCACTGGGGAATTAATCTACATTTCACATAATGAACACTGAATAGCTCATTTTTCCATCAGTGAAAAAAAAAAAAGGTGACTCAATTTAATAAAAAAAAATCTCCACCCCACAATTGTTTGTACATTAGTGCTCCCATAAACAATTATGTTCGATTAACAGTTATACTATCTTTCAACATAGTCAGGAAAGAAAAACCCATAATTCCTTTGGGATTATTCAACAGCAAACAGTCCTGACTGGAGTGGCACTAATTCTTTAAACTATTTCCTCAATCACAGCCATTCGGGCAGAACGTGCTTTTTAGTGTGAAACCTGAAAAGTAAGTGAAACATTCCTTTAATGAATGAGGATATTTTTCACAAGAGAACCAAATAGCCTAAATTTAGAAAGAGTTAGAACCTAGAACGTTTAAGTTGTCACGACCATTGCCACCGAAATGCGGCCATCACCATGACAGCGGTGTGTGCATCTAGAATGATCCTCCGGTCTGAATGCAGGCTGGTGAATACAACGCTGAAGCCTACCCAAAAACACGCCTGGAGCATGTGCACACACGGAGTGCCGCAGTTTACGCTTGTGCAAGTTTCCAGACACGACATTAGAAAAATAATCATGATAAGCTCTTTCTCCTTTTCGCTAATTAAAAGCAGAGGTCAAATCATAAACTCGTGTTAGCACTAACACGGAGATTTGCTAAATTTGATTATGTTTAAACTTCTTTTTCTTCCGGAAAAAGTTTAGCAGGAATTGAACTCTGCTATTCTACGGACAACTACACAATTAAAAGGTAGCAGTTGTCATTTAATGACAACTTTAATTTCTGAACAGCTGTGCAATATCTGAATTGCATTCGCTAGCTTAACAGCCAACGTTGCCGTAGCCATCACCAATTGACTTTAGCCGAACACAAACGAACAGTTAACCACCAAATTCAGATTCCTTTAAATTTGAGGTTTAAATCTTGACAAAATCATACAGTAGTGTTTCCAAATAATTGCACGTCGAGCAGCTCCATCAAGCACATCCGCACAGTCTTAGCCATCAGTGAATGACGCTAAGACAACAAGCTAGCTTGCCGATATTAGCAAACAGTAGAATCTGTTATTGTAAAAGGATGCATGGCATTCTAAGATTAAACTTTATGATACCAAAAGATCAAAAATCAACACTAGAGCAGTTTACAAATTCCATTTCTAGGAAACGTTAGTTTAAAAATAAATAAACACAAAGCAGTTCCAGGACACTCACTTTCGCCATGGTGCAAGCATGAGGTTCCTTCCAGAAACTACTGCGGACTAGCGCCTCCCCCTGAACAACGTCTGCAGGTTGCCAGTTTATGTGAAGAAAATCCGCAATACAACCGTTGAAGAACGTTTCACTCCAGCAGGGATTCAGACGACATATTTATACCCCGCGAAATGAAACTTCCAGAAAGACAAGAGAAAGCTATGCCCAAGTTTGTGTTACACAGCTAGTTAAAGCTGGGGAGCGGAAGTCACAGCTGCCTTTCAAACAGATCAAATATATTTGGATAATGTTTGTATTTTTAAACTCACACACTTCACAGATATATGTTTTAAAGTAAACGTATAACTTATTTGTAATCAGTACTGGCTGATCATTATTCACTATTATTTTGTTACATTCATTTACAGTCCATCTCCAATACCTACAAGAGGAGGCACGATTAGCTCCAATTTTCGATATGTCGTTTTGTCACACTTCAGTTTGTTGGCTCCCCAAATTTCTTTTTTATATTGAAAACAATACCACACAATGCCGCACTAAAGCAGTTTCCATTGTAATTGAAGGAAAACACTAGTTGTTGTTTTTTTAAATACCACCTATGCTGAAGTCTTAATCATATGCTGGCATTAAAAGACTGTGCTTAACTGTGTAATTTGACTAATTGTTTACCCTTAATTAATACGTCAAGGTAGGTTATTAGAGTGTTCTTACGGTTAGCTGCACTCAATGGGAAACAAAACAATAGAATGTCACAACCTAAAGGATATTGATGTTTCCTCCACTTTAAAATATCAGTTGTGGGGTGAAAAACATGATGTGTGGTGTTATTTTAGGTAAATGTCTCAAATATACCACTTTGTTTTCCAATTCCACAAATCAGGAGGAGTTTTTATCTTTAGATTATCTGCTAAATTAAAACATGTTAAGAGATTGACCGGATTTGTCAATTAATTCAGCCTATTCATTATTTTTCACTTCAACCAAAGAAGAGAGCTTTTTGAATTCTTGTGAGAAAATTACATATTCCGAACTTCCCTGAAGGCACTGGAAGGCACCATCTGTACAGGCTTGATGCTGCGCGTGCACTTTCTCCGAGGTGCTAAGTTGTACTTTGCGTCGTACAACTGTTTTGTTACATTTAAGCTAACTTGAATATTAATAATAATGAAAAATATGTTCGTTCCCCAGAGAAAACAATAAGTTATGGTAAAATAGAAAAATACGAATGAAATATTTTCTTTATTATTGTGTCGCTGTTTTAGTTTCAGGGGAAAAATATAGAAAATATAAGGTTGGGCTAACTTTTGCTAATTGACGTTACACCCCAGTTGCTAGTTATTAAGCCAGATATAGAAAAGTAGCCTTTATTTTCCTCTCTAAGTGTGGTAACTAACACTTTTAAGTTGAATTTGCACCACCCAACAGTCAGTAAAACTAACTAGTGGTGAGTACGGCCTCCTCTTCGCATTTTTATCTTCAGGAACAACGATGAAAAGACAGGAGCATCAGCCAGACAGACCAACAGGTTATGCTCTCCATTGTACTAATTCCACATAATTCTATGTATATTTGATTCTAACAAGTTTCCTTCACTCTAATCAGGATGATATATGTATATATTTTAATGTAATAAGTCGAATATTCCTCCTGTTTAGTATTTTTGGATTTAATGTTTTTAATAAGTCTGAATTATTACTAAATCTGTTGCATGTATTAGATGTGTGTTATGTTTATGTGTTTTCCTTGCTTTCTCCAATAGGGTTCCCGCCAGTGTTGCTCTTTAATCAGAGGAAAAGAAACAGGGTTCCTCTGACATCTATGCCCTGTGAGAATGATTTCTTTTCTCACAGTGAATATATGGCAAGCACCAGCTCATCGACACCTGGCAACAGCTCAGGTAAAATATTGACTGGTCACTAGGTGGCAGAACAGCCACAGAAAAAAAATTCAAGTTGTTAAGCAAATGGTCTCCATCAGTATAGTGACGTGTTTTCATTGTATGCCTGAACCACTTCAAACTATAATCAGTAGCTGCTCCGTATCTTTGAGGATATTTACATTGAACTTGGATAGTGTAGTAATAAACAGACTGAGATATAAAGCGGCCATCACAGTGACAAAAGACAAGATTGCAACTGAATTTACTACCAAGCTTTTACTGTGCCTCTCCTTAGATTTACATGGGTATTACCAAGACTCAGGTGACTCTTCTTGTGCACCTAAAAGCAACCAGTGGAACAGACAAGACACCCAACAGTCTGCTCCACCACACCAGTATGGCACCAGCAGACCTGCTCCTGGACCCACTCCTGCTATGAGATCCTACACACCAGTGCCACATCCATACAAAGCAGGACCCATAAGGTTATATTTTAATGACCATCTGACCATTTTTGTGGCATACAGTGGTCTGTCCGAGCATAAAACCCTAACTTTTCTGTGTTTAGAAAATACCAAGTGTTGCTCTGTGTATAGCAGGGTTATACAGAATGAAAATAAATGTAAGAATTTTTTTCTTAAACTAAAAAAACAACTTACATTTATTTTTATTTCAGGCCTATGGGGGGGCAGCCTGGCAACTCAGTCAGACAACTTGATTTCAGCTCCAGACCTGACTCCAGACAGATCAGTTATCAAAGCCCTTGTGGCAGTGGGAGTGAACAAAGGAAGTCAACTCTCCAAACAAGCTTCCCTCAAATGGCTCAGCAGTCACCATACAAGCCACCCGTCTCTACACGTCAATATTCCCAGCAGCCCCCCAGACCTCCTCCCTCTACCCAAGCACCACCCAGGAGGCCATCTGCTCCTGGTGCGCCACCACCCAACAACTCCTGGAAATTCACTAACACCTCTGAGCTTCAGAAATCCCCATTTGAGGGAAAAAAGATCTCAAACCAGCCCCAAACTATTCAACCAGCTAAAACTCAGGTAGATAAGTCCATACAAATATATTGAATAAATATTAAAAAGGCATCATGTTATTATTCTGATTATTGCTGCTGTGTTCAGCAGAAACCAGTTTCAGCAAAGCCCGCTTTTGAAAACTCACTGAGGATCCTGACCGCAGTTATCAATGGAATGAAACACTGGAGCCAGTTTAAAGACAAAGTGCCGTACTTATTTGAGATTTTTGGTGTGTAGATTAGTTTGTTTACTTTCATGGACTGGTTTGTGTGTTTGAACTCCATCAATCTGACAGATTATGCATCTCCCACAGGTACTCTGGACTCAGCCGTCACAGTGGGGTCACATGGAGCCAAGAACTTCCTAATGAGAGATGGAAAGGAGACTGTGCAGTGTATTTATTATGAAAACGTGAGTTTTGGGGTTAAAAACCAAAAGAATAACAACAAAGTATGTCTAACTCATATCAACCTAATTCAGATAAAGTCTACTTTGTCATTAATTACAGTGTTTTTTGTTGCAAGTATGGTAGTCTGGTTAAAACAAAAACTCTTTTTAAAAAGTCCTGTGTATGCAAACACAGAGAAATGTTTTGAACCACCCACTATTTTTTAATATAATAATAAGAACACAGGAGATATGTGCACGATTTTACTCTTTAAACCATCAGTAAAAATTAATCACATTAGTAAAAATCAGTTTGTTCAATTCCAACAAGCTTGAAAGTCAATGTTTCCTTCCTACCTATTTGCTACAACCGTTATCTCTTCAGATAGTCTGATCCCTCTTAGAGAAGTGTTTTGTCATTTCCTAAAGCAGTCTTCAGGATTAGCCCTTCTCACATCGTGAAGGACACCCCATAGTTCTTCTTTGGATGTTGGCACCTGATTCTCATGTGTCATTTGGCATGGCTCAGCCTCTCCTCCCCGTTTCCCTTCCTCATGAATGGCTTCCTAACAGCCGTTCTTCCATTGGGACCATCTCTGATGAGGCTGGGGCTGACAGCAGATGGATCAGCTGAAGCTCCAGACACATCTCTTGGGTCCTGTGCCCTCATCCTTCAGGAAATCACTGTGTGATTCTGCTAATATGTAGTAGTTTCCAGTTTTCTCAATTTTTATGGGAAAACCTGACACCTTGTTGAAATGTGTCTCTTCCCCCGAGTCAGTTCTGCCTTGTTTTGTTTTTTTTCTGGTAAAAGAAACCTCTACTTTTTCGTTGTGTGCTGTGGGCAGGAGATAGGGTGTGAAATAGCTTGAGATTACATTTTGTCACTTAGAGAGGGTGGAGGTGGACCCAAAGTGCAGACACAGTTTTATTTCCGAAAACAACTAAATGCTCAACCAAACCAAATAACCAAAAGCTAAATAAGTATAACATAACCAGGGGATAAAAGCATCTGCTAAATGCATAAATTTTAATGTAAACCAGAAAGAAAACTGAGACGCTGGGACATACAGCGTCAACCGGTGAGGATGTCTTTGAAAGATAACAAGATCTGAATGAACATATCAGGACATCAGGGGTGGCTTAAGCCTCCTCCCAGTACAGTGTGCACCTAAAGCCATTGACTTCAAACTTTAAAACACTTAAAAACACTTTCTGTTTTAACAGAAACACACAGCATTTGTTCACCCCTTGTGTTTGGTGTCCAACAGGAGCAGGCCCTGCCCCGTCTGATCCGCGGTCAGGTCCACCGCTGTGTGGGGAACTATGACCGGAGCAGGGATGTCCTGATGTGTGTGTCGGTCAGACCAGGCCTGCCCTCAGAGGTCAGAAACGCTCAGGAGGCTGTGAAAGCGTGTGATGCCGAAATGAGATCGCTGGTCAAAACTCTCAGTGAAGTCTGAATGTGAGCGGACGTCTTGACACGTCAGAGCCACAAAAAGAGGAAATATAGTTTGGAAGAGTTTCTATCTGCTTATTCAATCTGTTGTTGTAGGTATTTAATTTAATTTAAAAAAGCTGTTTTTAACCTGAAAAGGGAACAAATATTTGCTGGTATGTTGTTTGCAGTTAGTATCACCTGCATGATCCTTCGTCCTTAAGATGTTAAAATGTTGTTACTGTTTTTTGTGAACAAAATAAATGTAATTTAATAAAAACCTGCATGGAAAGTTATGAAATACTTTTATTACAAAGAAATGTCACAGAACAACAGGTAAATCCAGATAAAGCAAACACAAGTCGGAAAATATATTTTTGAAAAACGGGACAGTTTGGAGTAAAGTGATATCAAGAACAGTTAGTTTATTTACAGTCAAACATCACAATGGAAAAAAAAAACAATAGATCTATTCTACCAAAACAGTTTCACCAGTGCTTAAGACTTTACACACAACGTTCAACGAACAGGGGGAATAAGTCCGGTCAAACACAACGTGAGGTCCAGCACCACTCCGAGGTTTCCCCTCCGGACTCACCCTTCAAATATGGCAACATAATCACAGTCATTTATCAGCACATGTCATCATGGGAATTGTTCAAACGTGAATCTGTTAGTAAACTCCGACCCATAATTCAACACGATTACACACATTAACACCCACTACAAAAGGAAGTCAGGCTGGATGAAACTGGCAGTGTACAGGAGCATTAAATTTGGGAAGCAGACATTTTGTCCTTGGAACATGACGCGAATGGTGCCAGCTTAGTCGAATGGCAAATTAGTTGAAGTCATATTTTGAACATAAGGTGAATAATGCGTGGGCTCCGCGATGATAACCGAGGGCGAGGTTATGCTGGTCTCCTTTCCACCGCCACTCGAAATCTTAAGACGAGGATGCGAGAATCCCTCCGTTAGCTGTGTGTCACAGCCTTTGAATGCTGCCATTCAAGAGCTTCACCTCTTCTGGATAATTGGCTAAAATGTCTCGGGGCATAATTGAGCACGAGTGCGTTGCTTTCCTCTCAGCCATTATTAGCAGGGAGTCGAACACATCTGTTTATTCCTCCACAACGGTTTTATCAAGTTAATGAGATCGTACTGCATCAAGTTGGAAAGAAACACTTTCCCACTGAGAGGCAAAGCGGAGGAGAAAAACAACATCCCATCACACAACAGGAGCCGCAGTCTTCAGCAGAGGATGATGATTACCTGATAATTGCATTAAACACTTGTCTTGGTGATGCTGAAAGGCACAAGTTGGTCAGGTCACATTTAAAATCTAGATCAGTTCTGTTCCCATTAACAAATCCTTACCTTTTCATGCATTTTTGACTAAAGAAAATTCCACATCTCTCAAATCCCTGCCTTCGGCAACCATTTTTTTCCTGAATTATTAGTGTTTTGTGTTGTGTTGAAGACAGAAAAAAAGGTAAACGAGCAGAGTACATGACACGGACACATCTGGGATAAAAGGTTTGACAAAACAGTTCAGCATCCCCAAAGTTTTTTTCTGCTTTTTTTTTTAGACGAAACTCATCAGAAACAACTGTGTTTCACAACTTTTCTTGTAGAAGAAGCGTTAAAGTTTCCGACGCTGCGTTTGTCCTCCTCCTCTGGTGACTCACTAACTCTCACTGGCACCACTCAGCTCATGGTCATTTGATACTTAAAAGGTCCACTCTGTCCATTTGAGGCCTATTTGACTGTACAAACATCTCAGCCCACTGTCTTTTGTAGATCTCGGCTCCTTTTGGGTTCCGTTTAATCGCTGTTGAGATCCTGTTGAGTTTTTCTCACTGAAACCACATAACGTCACGCGTCCACTCAGCGTTGGCAAATCTGCTTTGGAATGTTACACACAGCGTGTCCACTTCCACAGGGGAAAACACAGAGTTTTAGAGCATCGTTTTCTTTCGTTTATTGTGGCCTCGGTCTGCATCATCTCCAAAACCAACGAAAGAAAACACGTGTGTGGACCAATGAAAAACCCATGATGGATTTGAGGTTGAAAATGAAAGTAACAGACTGTCATCGTTAGATAAAACATTCCATCTAAATGAATGAATTAATTAATTACACAATTACAGATGAGAGAGGACAGAGTTTGTTGTTGTTGTTATTGTTGTTTTTTTCAGCTTCAGTTTTTGCTGAACTTGGGCTTCCCGAGGGGGCCTCGCACATAAAAATGAGATGCAGGTCTCTGCCCTGGTCAAGCCCTGGTCAGAGCGAGCAGTCCGGAGAGGCTGAGAGGAGGAGTGACTATAAGAGGGTGGGCAGAGGGGTGGGGGAGAGCTGCTCCTTGGGCGCGTATTTGGCGAAAAAGGGCAAGAAGACGGTGAGCATGACCCCGACGATGGCCAGCATGTAGCCCCAGCCGATCTGGCACTCGCCGGCGTAGTAGATGTCCGAGTCCCCGCAGAAAGACCGGACCAGGGAGGAGTTGAGGCCGAAGGGGTAGACCAGCAGCCCGGCCCCCATGATGAACACTGCACACAAGACAAGAAACAGAATCACACACCCTGAGAGAAATCCTCTGTTATTGGCTGGGTTTACGTGTCGATATTCTGCTGTAACAGAGTTTAATTATCTAAATTAGCAAAGAATATGTATTATAGCTCTGGGGCAAATCAGTCAAAACTGGTGGTTAGATGTAAGAGTTCCCAATATCCTGGAGGAAGACACTGAACCCCCACTTTGCCCATGATGCGTCATAATGAATAAATCATCGTTCGGTTTTTGTAAGACAGACAAAAAAAACAGCGTAACCTGTAGAACTTCTGCAGTAATGAGCTTTAAAATGAGAGCCAGCAAGTTTGGAAAAGCTAATCTCAGCATGGCTGAACGCAAAGCGCATTTATGAACCACTAGAGGGCAGTAGAGGGTTGTCTAAACCTTGAATGTCAAGTGTTTCATTTACAAAAGATCCTTCATCACAACTGAAGTACATCCATTTAAATGCTTGATGTGTTGTCTGCTGTTATTACAATAACACAATAATGACCTAGATAGATTAAAGAGTCCAAACAGAGACAGAACAGATTTCTAACTGCACTGTATTTCATTCAGTGTGCTCTAACGTGATGAACACGGGTGATGTGAAATGATTTGTGTCCTAAAAAGCAAACGCCCCACGTCTGCGTCGCCTTTTCTGCAGAGAGCAGCCTCCTCGCACACGCGTTGCCAGAAAGCAGCTCACTTTTTACGGACTGAGCCAAGTCTCGTGGTCGCTGGTGCCAAAGCGTTATTGACTGTGCTACGGGCTATCACTGCTGCTCTCAGTCACCCAGCGGGGCTCGGATTTCCAATACCTCTCCAAGTGTCATCATGGTTTTAAACCATAGAAAGCCGGGACTGTTAGAAAAAGCTTCAACTTTTTGGTCCTGAGCATTGCTGAAATACTCAACAAATCTCCTTCTATCACATTGTATTGATTTTAGGAGATGTCAGTTGCTCTGTTGTCAAGGACCCCAGCTTCGTGATCTGGGGGAAAGTGCTGCTCCTTTAGCTGTCTGAGGATCAACTCGATGGTTCGTGAGGGCGGTGGGCAGCTGCGGTCGGCTAAAAAAGTGGAGGTAGGAAGCTTTTAGGGCATGCTCTAGTTGCTGAACGAAGCCGAAGTGTGCGGAGAGAGTGGGAATGTGTGAACCGGTGGAGGAAAACCATCAGAGGAGCGCGGTATGCCGAGCCTGGAGCACTGTCTGTATGTGGAGTCGTTCAAAAGCCGTCCCCAAAAGCATATCTCACTCACAGCCTTTCCATCTCTTCCATGATTTTTTATCTAAGGCAACACAACTCCTGAAAGCTCAGATGCTAACTGCACTTGAATGATTTTCTTTATTAAACTGTCCTTTGAGTGGATTTTCAGTACTCAAGACCAATTTATGACAACTCTGAAGCCTTCAAACGCTGTTCCAGCAGACACAGACGACAACAGTACGGTTTCATCAGAAAATAATCACTACAGGAATGAAATCAAGACAGCGGCGTTCTCTTACAAGTGCTATTAACTAAGCAGATTGTATCAGCCAGGCCACTGCAGTTTGCAGGGCGGTGGTCTTGATCAGATAAGCTGCAGTTGGCTGCAGGCCTCCCTGCAAACCTTTAATGAGGAGAAAGCTAGAAGACTAACTCCGAATGGATCAATTTAGTTGTTCCAAATTTAAAATCAAATCAAAATGCATGCACATTTCTTAAAGTCAAAGTCCAGATTTGAGCTAATCGAAGCCAGTTTGAGTCTTCCTGCCGGTGTTCTATCTTTAATCAAACAACATGGCGCCCTTTGCATCTTCTGAAGATCCCGTTTGGGATTTGAAAACCTGCCTCAAATGTTCTCAAGCCAGTAGGCCCAAAAGGAAAAGACATGCAACACCCTGCTAGGTTTGTCCAGATCCCAGTGCTGAGCGTCTGGACGGGAGTGATGCTGGAGATGGAGCCAAGTCTGTGGTTTGAGACAAACCTTCCCTCTCATTTTTGGAGGAAAATATGAAACGGCGGAGTCGTTTCTACACTGCAGCGTACGAGTTTCATTTCAACAGGGCCTTACACGGCTGGGCGCTTTAATCTCGTGAGGAATGGACAGTGTGATGAAAGAGGCCGACATGACACCCAGACGCCGCGCGGGGAGACCGGAGCCTGAGCGGACTCGTTGTTTGCACCACCGGGACGCTCGTTTAACACGGCAACATTGAATAACGAATCCCTGGGAGCGCTAACGTCAGTGGCTGGAATAATACAGAGGCAGTTAGTCGCCGGGAGAAGATCGAGAGGCTGAGAGCGACGCCCTCAAACGGTCGAAATCCACAAAAGGATTCCACCATTTCTGATCAGTCACAGACAAACGATTCTGGAGCTTTCGATTTCCTCCAACGCGGGGTTATAAAAGGGGCTTCAGTACTGTAACCAGCGGGCAGTAGGAAGCTGTGAGTACTTCCATCACTCATCTCCTAATTGTCCTGAGGAGCTGACAGTTTACTATCCTCCCAGCTCCCAATCAGCGCTATATACTTAAGAGTGGACGACGGGGTGGAAAGTGGAGCTCGGTCAGCCCGAGCTTTCTGAACAGAGACGAAGAGAAGCGTAGAAGCAAGGACAGAGCAGTGCCAGCTCCGGAGTTCTGCTGAGTGGGCGATCATAGGAGCTCCTGGATGCTGAGACGTTGAATAATAGAGAGAGTCCGGCGTCCAGTTGGCACAGCATTAATGCGTCCCAGTTTAATAGAGCCAGAGGCCGGACCCAAGCCTTTAGGTGCACGTTAACCCGTTCTGGCAGTGGCTGTAGTCGTATCCCAAATATACTGTACACAAATCTGATCACCGTTCGATTTTAAGAGTCTTTTTCGTTGCTCGTCCGGTCTGTGACGAGCCCGTGGAGGCAGTTTTCTGACCCTGGTCCTCAGGGCACACATCCCATCCCCAATGCTTTTTATGTTCTTGCTCCAACACAGCCCATTCAGATAAATGGGTCAGCTTCTCACTCTGCACGCCAACACCAGGGACTTCCCAGATTCCCCCCATAACAGAAATATTACATTGGAAGCTTAATTATTTTTTCTTTTGTTAAGGTTAATGAAAGTGTTTCTTTCAAAATGCTGCCCTAATGGTTGCAGTCTTTCTCTGGACAGACCATGACTATTCCTAATGTTTCAGTCAACATTCACAGCCTTCAATTCAAACATCCCCGTGATTATCATTGTAACACAAAGGACTGCCGACCTGTTGGACTGCAGACCTCATTAGCTCCGAAGGGGCGCGCAGACTTCAGACAGAGAGAGTAAAATATCGATTCGGGAAAGCTGAAGCGGCCAGAGGCATCTCGGGCTTCACCGTTCATCAGCCGTGGCCTGCTTTCTCAGCTAGCTGCGAGGCGGCGGACATCTTTGTGCAGGCGAATGAATAACAAACACCTTCACGTGTTGCTTTTTTTTCTTCTGCTTAAACTGTTTTATTCTGTCATGTACATTTTTTATTGACTCAGTTATTGGGCCTGCACAGGGACCACAGTAATTCATTGATTTCTTTCCACCTGGTGTTTAACATGTGTTGAAACGGCAATAAAACTCCTCGAATCCTTTTTATAGGTACAAAGTTAACACACGAGGGAGGCAAAACTAAATAAAATCCTCCAGAGAGCATTGACTCTACCCTACAAAGACAACTCAGCTTTTACCAGCTTTGTGAGTTGAATAGACCTTGATTTTTTTTTTTTCCCCCATCGTGGTGTGATGAGAAATGGAAAGTTGATCCCAAATGTGGCAAAACAGGTTCGCCGCAGCGCAAATTAGAACTAGAAATTGAATGGAATTGCTGGGCAAGAAGGTGTGTGATAACCTGACATCCAAGCGTGACCCCGAATCACTTTCAGTCCAGACACGCAGAGCTCACCGGCGTATTCCGCTGCAGAGGGCTAATCACAAGCAGGGTATCGTGTGCCAGGTTCACGCCTGAACGCCTGCATTCAGCCGCACAAACCTGAAATCTACTCTTGTCAGAAACGGCAGAAATACTATACGCCGCGATACCATGCTTTGACACACCTGGAATCTAACACAGCGTTTTCGATTTTTCTGCTCCCTGAGATACGACAAATAGAGATTCAACTGTCCGTCTCGGTGCAATGACTGGACCTCCACTCTGGGTCAGACTCTATTGCCACCCTTTGCTGACGGTTGGAACCCTGTTAGCTATGGGCATGGCTGACTTATACTCAGCAGGAAATGGAGACTCCACCTACAGACGCTGTGCTCTCAATTCAAGCCTTACAAATTTGTCTGTCTGTGCCCTTTGGTTAAAACATAAAATCCCATTTATTGAGTCCAGCGTTTTATTCACCTCGGGGCACAAATACAGAGAGGCTTGTACTGACTTTTATTGAACAAAAACAGGTAGAATTAGTAATATTTAAAGTATTTGCAGACTAACAGTTTAGCTTAGTTCTCTATCATGCTCCCTTTTTTTAATAAGTATGAAGTTTGTTTTGTTTTTTTAACAGGGAAACTGGCCAAGTTGAAGAAGATAGATTCAAGCCTTAGAGCCAAGAATACAAGACCTATAATATATTAGAATAAACTAATGCCCTCCTTATCTTGTCTGACCTACAATCCAGACAGGGAGCCAGGCAGAGGCCGTCAGCTCCTCTGGGACGAGGGCAGCCAGACGTGTGAATACGAAAAAAAGAAGAGCCACAGGTTTCGTTTCTTCTGTTGCTGGTATCCTCGGTGTCACCGACACCCACCGCTGGCTCCCACAACCCAGAGAAAAACTTCTTATCTGGCCGCTGTCCAAGCAGAAACACTATCTGCTGCTAGTGTTCACTTCAAAGACACGCCAAAGAGCACACGCATTAGATTGCGACCTTACATAACCACAAATGTGTTTGATGTCACATTACCTTGCATAGGCAAAGATATCAACATTCCAGCCTAAGGGGGAAAAAAACACACATTTTTATTCTGTCTTTATCCTTCTTTGCGGGGCGAATCACAACAACAAAATGAGACTAATAGTCTTCGTTGTGCTAACGCGAAGCCTGTTTGTTTGTGTTGTGGGACTCGTCGATTTGGCAGGATGCTGGGAAAATAAATGACTGAGAAATGTTTTTTTGATTATAGATTCGGGTTCCAAAGCTTTCAGATCAGAACTCTTATTCTCCGCTTCCTTCTTCTGCCAACTTCTTTTTCATAATGTCTTCTCTTTTTTTTTTCCCATTTACATAAACAGGCCCTTTCCAAGAATAGAGCAGGTGGGTTGTCGATCTCCATGTGGATAAGCCAGATGTGATCAGGCAAGGTGACGTAAATTGGGTGCTGATTTACAGCAACAGCCTGGGGCATTAAACCCAGACTGTGACCCGTGTACACACACACACACACAGACACACACATACACACACCCCGATCATGTGTCAAGAATGCCACATAAAACTATATACATACAGAGTTTGTATATATGAAATTCTAAGTCCAAACAGGATGGATTGTTCACTGTGTGCATTCAGTAGAACCGGGTCTCAGTGTGCCACTTTAAAGGCACAACAAGAGCAGTGCATAACTGCAACGCGTCTCTGGGAAATTGCCTTTTCCCCTGGCCGCGCATAAGGAGAATTTCCATTTTTCCTTTTTATTTACAGGGGGGGTTGGGGAAGGGTATGGATCATATCTGTTCCTTCCTGCAGATAGCCAATGCATCCAGTTTGGACGTAGAGAGAGGGAAGCCCCCCTGATACAGAAATGTGACGATGCATTAGGGAGAAAGCGCAGATAGCGGAGTGTGTGAATCTCGGTGAAGATGACCAAAAAAAAAACAATCACCTCTAAAAGAAACTTGAAACA